GAAAAAAAAAAAATAATAAAAAAAATCAAAGCACAGCTTCTCTACCCAGCTAGCCAACACCTTCTCTGTCCTTTTTCCCCCAAACCCCAACCCTAACCTTTCTTCCCTCTTTCCCTTTACATTTCAATCTTCTCACCCCAAAATAGTATATATCTCTCTCACAAATATATTAAAACCCAACAACAACAGAAACTGAGGAAAAAAGAAAATTCAATCTGTGGAACTCGACCCAGATACCTCCTCCTTATTCCCTGGCTGACTCTGGTGGCTGGGCTCGTTGGTGGACTCTAGTGGCTGGGCTGACGGAGTCTGTTGAGTGGAGAGAAGCAGAGAAGAAGAGAAGAAGAAAAAAAGGAGAGGAAGAGCTGGAGGAGTCTGTTGAGTGGAGAGAAGAAGAGAAGAAAAAAAGGAGAGGAAGAAGAAAAGGAAAAAAAGGAAAGAAGAAAAGGACACGGAAAGAGAAAGCTAAAGCGGAAAAGGTGAACTCACCCAAAAAAAAGAGGAAAAGGTGAAGAAGAAAAGAAAAGAAATTTTGCAAAATTACAAAATTAACCTCCCTAACGGGTGTAACGGGTTCACCCGTTTTCGACCCAACACGACCCGTTAGCTTAACGGGTGGCTAACGGGTTCACCCGTTTTCAACCCGACCCATTAAGCTCAACCCAAATACTGATAATTTCGTGCGAATTCGTGTCGTGTTAACGGGTCGTGTGCAATATTGCCAGGTCTACAAGTAGGCGACTAACTCTAGCATACTTTTAGTCTTTTTTATGAGCCGGTATGAATACCAACTTATTTGAATAGTGTCATGTCCAGTATTTGGTGCACTTATAAAGATTATGTACTAGAATCTAAAATAATTAGACCTAATTGTCCCTAGCCGAGACGTGAGTCATGTCTCTAGGCACAAGACTCAAAAGCTCACATTTAGGAACCGATTACGGTCTAGGTAGAAAAATAAAAAAGGCCCTTGGGTGTTACTGGCCTGTAGCCCAAATTTGAATGTTCTAGGCCATTGAGTCTACAAATCTTGTCCTTAAAAAGCAGCAAGAACTTGGGCTTGGACTTCCCTAATTGAAAAGCTCCCTCTATTTCAGCCCAACCCAAAAAAAGAGAGCAAAACATGAATAAAAAATACATTTTTTTTTTGCCAAACAAAAAACTTCTGCTTACTATATATCACAGTGTTGATGCACGGTCTGTGAAACGCGCGTTGTGGTAACTTGTACCTGAAATGTTGAGGAATTGTTTGCCTCTTTTGTGTATGAAACGTCCAAATAAGAGAGCAGGTTTAGTGAAAGGTCTGTGGTAAAACAGGGTACCAAAATGAAGCCCAAGCCTTTAACGTGTGATGATGATTTGTACATATTTTGACTGTAGAGTCTTCTGCAGATGGTACCCCTTCCCACATATAAGTCCTCACTGCTTATTTGACCATATTTCCAATTCTTCTTCAGACTGAATTGAATGCTCTTCCTCCCTCTCTTCAGTTATTATTGCATTACAAGAAGATCATGAAAATATTAATGGTTTTTTTATAGCTGAGAGGAGCCTTGAATGGTATAAAATAAGCACCAAATGGAAGAACAAATATTGGGTTTAACTTTTTTACCTCATCTGGGATATTCACATCTCTCATACAAAGAAACAACCACCCTTTGGCAAAGCTCTGTCTCATGATTCTGATCTCCCCATATTGAAATTTGTAACCCCTTGACCACATTCTTCACTGCATTATTCATCAGCCTCTCTCTCTCTCTCTCTCTCTCTCTCTCTCTCTCTCTCTCTCTATAAAGCTTTAGAGCCATAGAAATCAGCTGGTCAAAACCCCACCAAAGGCAAGCTAAGACATTGTTTGTAAAAATGTCTAGGTGGGTTTTTGTTCATATGTACAGAAATGTGAGAGTATGTTTGAAAGTTCTCAACTTTAACAATGTGGGGTTTTCACTTTTTGTTGTCATGAACTGTGTGTAGCATAAAATTAGACAAGTCAAAGTGGAAGGTGGAGGGGCACAGAAGGAGCCCAAGAATATCTGCTTTGGAAGCCTGTAAGGCTCAGCGGCCGAGACTCCTGAGCATCACTGGTACAAGTACTACTAGCACTGCTGCTACTGCTACAGCTCGTAATTTTAGCGCACAGAGAATGAAGCGCAACTTGGGTAACGGTGAGGGGCCAGCTTCCAGAACAAGGGCCAGAAAGAAGAGGAACCTCAGACCTTTTCAAGAAGTTGCTGCCACAACACCTTCATCCCCATCAAACCAGGAAAGTTGTTTTTCTTTTCTTTCTCCCATTGCAATTTATATCACTTAAACTCCTATGTTCTCCAAATAAATGGAGTGTTGTGGGCTAAAAGTGACATTATATTTGTATATAAGGGGTTTTTGTAATCATATCAAGTCACCAGTTCCTCATTATGTTGTTTGAGCTGAGTAATTTCCAATACCAATTTAACGTCTGTACTGTCATGCAGGTTCGAGAAGAAACCAGCCCTTTTAATAGTGGTGAGCCCTTTTTCTGCTTAATCACATTCTCTGCTATTTCAATGACTTTGCTGCTGCCGTTGTTATCTGTAGTCTATTTGTTTTTCTATCAGATCAACAGGTTGTGCGGGGTAAAGATCTTAAGCCGGAAGTTCATGCTGCCTCTACTGGTTAGCCTCATTTCTTGATTGAGAAGTCTCATTGTACATTGGCCGCTTTATGATTTTACACATTCTAACTTAATGGTTGTATTAGATCAACCATCCACTGAATCTTCACTGCAGTTGCCGGAAAAACGCATACTTGAGCTTATCCTTGACATATTACAGAGGTGGGTGCTCTTCCCATTTTATTGTAACATTCTTCACAATGAATTATGTGTATCTAAAACTGCAACAATTCAAAAAACTGTCGAGTACTCTTTTGATGAATTCATCTTAACGATGAATTATTTGTGGTTGTATCTATATTTTACATAGTTATTAGGAAATTTCTTCATTATGTTGATGCATATTTTCCAAAAATTACAGGAGAGATACCTATGAAATATTTGCGGAACCAGTTGACCCAAATGAGGTGCATATCTCCTTGCTACTTTGTCATTTCATATAATGAATGTGTTCTTTGTCTTTTCTCAGTCATGGTTGTAAATTTTCCTGCTCTTTTATAAGGTTGAGGGTTACTATGAAATCATCGAAGAGCCTATGGATTTTGGGACCATGAGGGCTAAACTTCATGAAGGGATGTATAGAAATCTTGAACAATTTGAGGTATGCTCCTTTCTCAAAAATTAGTTCTGCTTTCACTGTAGTTTGTTTTTTAACCATAAATCTCCCAATGGCAATACCTCACCAAAGTATTTTTTGTTTAATTTTGTCTCAACTTTGGGACAAATGGCTTATTAATTGCCTCCTCTAATTGAACTCAAAATAATAGTAATGTAAGATTCATAATATTTCAGACTCTGTTATTTAATTTTCTGCTCACTAAGGCATTTTTGTCTCATTTTACTCTGTATGCACCATAATGGAAAATTCAAACTTATTCAATTTCAGATATTACTGGTATAAACTATTTAACATGTCCTTGCATGCCAGATAATCTTAAATTTCTAATATTCGGAAAGATTCTTTTTCTGACATAACATATGTAAACTAGAGTATGATCTGTTGGTGATTCTGCTAGTTATAAAGCTGTCTTTGGCTGTTTAGACTGTTTGCTATTTATATATCATCTACTGTGACATCTGATTACAATTAATGAACTGTTTGCAGCATGATGCATTTCTAATAACAGAAAATGCAATGCATTTTAATTCTACAGCTACCATATTTTTTAGACAGGTATGCTAATTCAATCTTCTGAAAAATTTTGGAAAGTTTAATCTGAATTCTTCAACTAGAAAATCTAAATATAATCCATGAACTGAATGAAACCTCTTGGTTTTTACAGGCTCGTGCCATACATGAGCTAACTAAGAAGGTATTTCATGTTTTGGAAACTTATCCTGAGAAATTTGAATTAGAATTCTCAGAGACAAGACAAAAAAGTGGTAGGAGGGCGCGAGGAGAAGCTGGGAGGTCAGCTTCTAGCTCATATCCTAAAATTGCTACAAACATGAAATCCCTTAGCATGAAGATAGCTGAATTTTCTAAAGCTATTCCATGCTCACTTGGTGGTTCATCAAATGTCAGAAGATGTCAAGTAAAGACAGGGTGCTCTGGCACTATTGATGCAAGAGTGCACAGAGTTCTTTCTGGTAAGAAGTAAAAGATATGTTACGTTTTATGTTAATTTTGTAATTCTAAAGTCATCGAAAGTTCAAACCTCCAGCACACTGAGTTATGTAAATGACAAATGGTTTATGAACTAGATTTATGTTTACTTACAATTTTGTGTTTTCCAAGATACAAATCTGAATTCAAATTTATCATGAAATCTAGATCTTTCCTATCTATTTTCACAGTCAGAATTTGGACCTTTGTGTTTGTTAATAATAGGTACTCAAGATGATAGAAGGTCTAGATCTTTTGAAGCAGATCCACGCTGTACATATAGACCTTGGACATCGTACCTTGATGAGAATGAGTCAACTGGTTTGACACTATCTAGTAATTTAAAACAACTTGGGCATGTAAGCCTTCTTTTCTTGTGTTTTTGTTCTACATGTACATCTCGTTGGTCCTCAATAACTTAATGCCAAATTTCCTGCAAGGCTAAGAAAACTAATGTAGTTTTTCATTTATGTTTCATTGATTGATGTCACAAAAACTACCATGAGAACAGTCAATTTTCTGTGTAGGCGAATCAGCAGGATATTGGTTACACAGAAAGCTTGATGTTGTTTGTTAAAGACTTAGGACCAACAGCTCAGAAGATTGCCAGAAAGAAGTTACTTGGATCTTTCCAGTTGCAAAAAAGTCAAATTCCTTTGGCATCTACCTCTACCCTATGGGCACCCAGTACTCTGAGTGATATATTTGCTTCATCACAATCTCAAAACTTCCAGGGCAACCTTCATGGGCATCCTTCTATCATGAAGAGCACTGGTGACAGTTTCCATTCATGGGATGCCGATAAAAGAGACAAGGGATCTTTAGGTGATGAAATTGGCATCCAAAGTGGCAAAGTTGCAGTGGCATCCAGTAGTGACAGAAAGAACTCACTTGGTACTTTTGGAGGGAAAATTCAGTCCAGTGAATTTCATCAGAACAGAAGAAATGAGATTCAGTTGGATTCTTCTTCCTTGAAAACTCATGCTGCAGACAACAGTTGCTCAGTTTCTGGGTTCAAAAACATTGGCAGCAACTCAACATCACTGATACTGAACCAGTGGAAGTCGGTTCATCAAACACAATCATTGGAGCCACCTTCAGATTCTTCTCAGTCAAATTTGTTGGAACCACGGTTGAGAAACTTGGGATTTTCAAGTTTTAGTCGAACTAAGAACAAATTGAGTTCGTTTCATTCGAGAGGAGATTGCGATCAAACCAAAGCTGAGACAAGCCAAGTGTCAAAAACAGACCAAGCCAGGCCACCGGTTCGCCAGTTCACATTTGATCTGCCGTATTTGAGAGCCCAACTTGGTAAGATAAATTCTTCGGGACAAGATAGATTCTTGCAGAAAGGTTCAGATGCTGAGCTGATCTTGCCTGATAAAAATAGTCAGGCTTCAACCTGTACCCGCCATTTGGAGACGAGAAATCAGCCTTATAGTGATTATCAAAACCAGCCTTCAATGGATACTCAATACACTGATTTAGCTCTTCAGCTGTAAGAAAACGACCGAAGTTCTAAAACAAAAGAAATATTTGACCTTTCTGTACTTAAATCCGTTGTTAAAATGTCATACAGAAAGTTCAAATGTATAACTTAAAAATTGTTCAAGATCAATTATTCTCTTGGAAGTGCTAATTGGCTCAAAAAGTTATTGAAGAAATAAAAAGATTCATGTGCTTGAGAGAGCTTGACCTGTCAATGTCATACCAAGCAATCACATTATAAAGAGACTAGGGTGGCATATGAACACGGTTACTTGCTCCTAAAGCAATAAGATAAGCTATAGATTATACAAAATGGCTCACACGTCACAACAGCTAGCTCCCAGAGGGTCCAGTTGGATGATGAAACATTCGCGAGTTAATTACATGGGCCAAACTTTGTAACATTCGCAAGTTGTCCCACAAGAACAAAAACACATTACAAATCCATCAATCTAACAGAGAAACATGAATCCTTCATTCAATCTAACAACTTTCTCGTTAAATGAGAAACCCGCATTCGTATTGTAGTAAAATTCAAATCCAAATCGAAATAATTAAATTTGTTTTGTGTAGTTAAAGTATGTGCCTTAGTTGGATGGATGGTTATGGAAATGAAAATCCAAAGGCAAGGAAAGAGAACAGGTGTTGAAGAAACAGAAGGCATATAGGCAAGGTATTATATATAGGGAGAGAGGTGTTTTTGCTATTATTTTTCTGTTTCTGGTTTGTGTGTTTGCGGCATAACATTCATTCATTTCATATTTCGGTTTTTTATTTGCCTTCAGAAGAAAAGGCGGAAGAGTTAGTTAGTTAGGCCACAAAGCCATCCGCCACCAGAACCAAAAAAAAAACTAAACAACCAACCAAAAAACTCTTAAAGCACTCTTCTTCTTCCTCCTCCTCCTCCTTCGTCGTAGTCGTTGTCATCGCGGTGGTGACGATCGGCGAAAGGGAAATTCATTTGATCTCAATAAGAAAGGAAAGAAAGCTCTGCAGTGAAAAAAAAAATGGCGTACAGAAGAAGGCAGGGGATGTCGAGGGCGTCAACTTTCAAAGAGGAGATTATCCATCGCCCACCTGATGACAATTCTGCTTCCATTTTGCAATCTTCGTCTTCTTTCTCTGGTTCTTCGTCTCTCGCTGCTCAGGCCATTCGTGCTTCCGCTCTCTCCGCTGAGCGCAACAACAACCGATCCAAGGTTTCCTTTTTCTGATCCCTCGGACAATTCTGGATCTTGCTGTTACTTTTTTATAAATTTCATAATAACTCCTCTGTTTCTCTGATCTGATCTGCTTGTTACTGGGTTGGTTTTATTTGCAATGGTTTGTGACCCTGTTCTTAATTTGTGTGGCAAGAGATGATTGTGATCATGCCTTATAAATAATGCAGGATTTTTCTGCATATGACGAATCGGCCACAAAATCTGGGTTTTGGGGTGTTCTGGCTCGCAAAGCTAAAGCCATTCTTGATGAGGATGGTGAGTTTCCGCAAGATGATATGCTTGGAGGCGTCAGCTCACAGTCCTCCAATGCCTCCATTGGCACCCAGGTGAACTCCAACTTGATCTTTGTTTGCAATATTGAAATGGGCTTTCTTCAAGTTTCTGACTTTCTGCAGTACCATATACAAATATCATTTCTAGCACAGATAACTTTTGATTGGAATTTTCTGAGCTTTTTGTTTAATCTTTTGGCGTGTTTAACTTTTGGAGACAGTTCCAACAACCCTATCTGTCATCTGACAACTCTATAAAAATGGAAAATCCTGCAATCCGCAAGGGCTTGGACAGAATCACAACTTCCCTCAATCAGCTGGGCGACACTTTCGAGAAGGCTTTTGAGGTTGCTAAAACTTCCTTGCTTTTGATATGTCAAATTCAGTAATTTAGGAAGCAATTTTATTCACAATGCAGTTTATGGCTTTCAGGAAGGTCGTACGATGGTGGAGAACAAGACTGCCGACATCAAACTGCAAATTAAACGAAGGGGAGACCATCCTGAGGCACAAGCTTATTATGTGAACCAGAGCAATTCAGGGCAGCAGCCTAAGAACCCTGATACTCAACTCAAGGCATCACGCGACGTAAGGTGGCAATTATGTTATTGTGTGTGACTGGTTTGTGTTGTTAGAAGTAGAGAATATTCTAATCATAAGACTAAATGAATCCGATTGAAGTTATTGAATCATTCTAAAGTTGATCTATATGTTCATGAATTCATTTTTCATTTATTCATTTAGACTTCACTTAAGCCAGTGGAATGCATAAATGGTCTTTGTTTTGGATCACAGGTTGCAATGGCAACAGCTGCCAAAGCAAAATTACTTCTTCGGGAGCTGAAAACTGTTAAAGCAGATCTGGCTTTTGCAAAGGAACGATGTTCTCAACTAGAAGAAGAAAATAAACGCCTTCGTGAGAATCGCGACAAGGGAAACCACCGAGCAGATGACGACTTGGTATGTCTCCTGCTTTTCTTGTCAGTTTTCATTGTGCTGTGTCAAGGTTCCTAATGCAGGATACTGCATTCTCTGCTTCTTTGTTTCTCATGTTGTGTATAATTTCTGTTAGACGATAGGCAAATGCTTGCACATCTATGTATCTTTAGTTGTGTGCTTAAAACTTCTTTGTTTCTAACATGTTTATATATGTGATGATACCAGATCCGCCTTCAACTGGAGACACTGCTGGCGGAGAAGTCGCGCTTAGCGAATGAGAATTCAGTTTATGCTCGCGAGAATCGGTTCCTGAGGGAAATTGTTGAATATCACCAGCTCACAATGCAGGATGTTGTGTATTTAGATGATGAAGAAGTTACAGAAGTTTACCCCTTAACCAGCTCCACCGGGGTCTCCAGGATGCTTTCCATTTCCCCGCCCTCAACACCTCCTTCCCCGCCTCCAGAGGACCCTTCACCTGTAACCGCACCAGTTACTAAAGAAATATCACCTCTCCTCACCGAGCGAGAAGAAAATAAAGATGTTTCCGCAGATGAGGCCACACCAAGTTCCAATATCTCAGGTCCTAATGAAGAAGATACTAAAACACCTCCTATAGCAGAAGCAGCTACTAAATCACCTTCTGTAGCAGAAGCT